TAGATATTTAAAAATTCCTCTATTCGAATGCCCAGGAAATAATTCAGTTTAATAATTTCCAGTTTAATCATGATAATAATAATAACTGAATAACAATGTATGTGTGCGTATGTGTGTGTCGATTAACAGAATAGTAAATATGATTTCCCTTTGTTGATGATGGCAATGACAAAGGATGATGATGATTATGATAAGAATGAAGATAAAAATCAATAATAATGGTATTGATGATGATAACAACAACAACAACGACAACAAGAACAACGACAACAACGACAACAACAACAACGACAACAAGAACAACAACAACAACGACAACAAGAACAACGACAACAACGACAACAAGAACAACAACAATAACGACAACAAGAACAACAACAACAATAATAATAATAATAATAATAATAATAATAATAATAATAATAATTAAGCCAAGAAAAAAAAAGAAAGGAAGAAAGAAACGAAATTAATAAAATAAAAAACACAAGAGGGGAAAAGTGATCAATAACGAAGTAAACAAACCAAAAATAAGAAAAACAACAACAACAAAAATCGCATCCAAAAATAGCCAATAATCCTGTTCATTAGTTCCGCCGAAGAAGGCAAATGCGCCGATGTGTAACCCTGATCTAGACGCGATCAAGGCCCACTGCATCAGGGTCGCTTTTGGCCGTCATTATGATAGCTGCTTTTGTCTCTTTTGTACAGCTGCTCATCTTCCCTCTCCTCATCAAGTTATTACAGTTATGGTTACTAATGTTATTGTTTGCATATTATTATCTTTATTGTTATTATTATAATCATTTATCCCTATTATACTCAGGGTCGCTTTTGGTCGCCATTACGATAGATTCTTTTGTTTCTTCTGGACAGCCATTAATCTTCCTTCTCCTTATTAAGTTATTATTATATTATTATCATCATCACTATTATTATTATTAGTGTTATCTGCTGATTATCATTATCATTCTTTATCCTTATCATTATTATATTCAGGGTCGCTTTTGGCCGCCATTAGGATAGCTTCTTCGTCTCTTTTGGAGAGCCACTCATTTTCCTTCTCATAAAGCGTTGTGAGGTTTCGAGGCCCTTCTTCAGAAAAAAAAGCCGTGAAATGATATATGATTATGTGCTTTGCTTTTAGGTAAAATGTGTGGTGAATGAATGCCATTACTTTAATTATTATATTAATTTTTTCACGTAGGAGTCCTAAAAAAATGCGGGATTTCTCTCAAATCAGGACCATAAGAATATCAATTTTGTATCGATTTTGCACCAGATGATTAACAAGAAATCAAATATGTATATACCTGTAACTCGAAAATTCGCTTGTAAGGTGGCACAGGTAGTCAACGAAAAATATGGTTCTGTTTTTTTTTAATATTTTCGGGTCTATCTAATATTTTAGATTTATTTTCTATAAATATTATTATTTTACATATTCTATATGAACTTGATATTTGTAATCAGTATAATCTTTATAATCACAAGTAAGTACAAGGATAAATTTTCAAAAATGCAATTCAGCTTTTGACAATATATCATATGTATATAATATATTTTATGAATGCAATTATGGGCGGTTTAATTCACTACCTGAGTGACTAACACAGATTTGTAGTGAAACAGTGCGATCGGACAATTGATAAATAAATAAATAAACTTGAATTAAGAGTAAAGAAAAAAAAAACTTTCCGGACCCATTGTCATGTGCAACAGAGGTCGCGGCAGTCCCTCTCAAGTCACTCATTCAGTCCATTGTGAATTTTATCCTCACAACCATCGTTGTTTCTCCTCGCTTTCATTCTCTCGGCATCAGCCGCCATCAACTGGCTCGCATCACGATAGAACAGTGGTCTTCATTGCGCGGCTCGCGAGCCAGTGGCGGCTCGCCAAGACCTGAGTGGCGGCTCGCAAAAAGAGAGAGAGAGAGAGAGAGAGAGAGAGAGAGAGAGAGAGAGAGAGAGAGAGAGAGAGAGAGAGAGAGAGAGAGAGAGAGAGAGAGAGAGAGAGAGAGAGAGAAATGACGCTCCTTCCGCACAGGAACTGTACGTGTAGGTTACGTAAAATCCAGTGCTCGGCGACCCATACTTTGCCAGTATCAAAAATATGTAAAAAATATGTAATTTAGTTTCTGTATATATTTTGTTCTGCTAATACTAATCCTTGTAGCTTACGAGGCATGTGGCTCTCAATCTGAATATGCCCTGAACTTTTGGCTCTCTTGAAAAAATTAGTGAATAACACTGCGATAGAAGATTCGAATTGCCAAAATCCGATTCACTTTCTCAGTCCAAACCACGTAAAGAGAATTCGAAACCGCTTCGAAACCGATTCTTCTTTCTTCTTTCAAAGGGTTTCAGACTATGAACTAGGATTCGTCTCCTTGAGCTTACCTGTCGCAAAGAAGGCCACAGATTAGGGTATTTTTGCTACCTTCTGGGACTTCTGGCTAAATAGAGATTAGTGACGTTAGCGAGGGAGTGCGAATTAACAGACACGCTCTCTGGAGTTGATTTCAGACAGCAGCTCCCGTGGGGGTTCTCTGGACATCATTGGCAGTGAATGATTAGACCTTCAATTTGATGAATGAACGGGAATGTGATTTGTGAGTTGTCGGAAGACTTGGGTTGTAAAATGAGAAATGTTATTTTTTTACATAAGCTAATTTGAATGTTTCCATTATTCTTTATATTCTTGCACTTAATCATATGTATATATGTATACATATATATATATATATATATATATATATATATATATATATATATATATATATATATATATATTATATATATTTATATAATATATATAGTATATATAACATATATATATATATATATATATATATATATATATATATATATATATATATATATAATATATATATAACATATATATATATATATATATATATATATATATATATATATATATATATATATATATATATATATATATACAAACAGACAGAGAGAAAGAGAAAGACAGAGAGAGAGAGAGAGAGAGAGAGAGAGAGAGAGAGAGAGAGGGGGGGGGAGAGAGAGAGCGAAAAAAATGTATAGAGAATTTTTAGGAAATTCTTGCTGATGAAAACACACTTAATTAGACGTCATTAACGTCCGTAATTAATTAATGATCAGCGTTGTGTTGACTCGTTTCTTATCTTTGATGTCTTCAAATGATTGTAAAATGGCACAATACTTCGAGTTCAAAACAGAAGTCGCAATTAGTTTTTGATGATAATGGATAATGGTAATTATGGTAATGATAATAATGATGGTGGCAGAAATGAGCATGATAATAATATAGATTGAAAACTTATGATAAAGATAATAATGGTCATATTGATGGTACTAAAAACGATGATTATGATGATAAGGAAAACAGTAATAATGACGGAAGTGGCAATGATACTTACAATAATAATCACGAAAATGTAGACGACAACGACCGTGAGACAGTGATGATAAATAACAACGAAGATAATAATCATAAATAAAACAACAGCGAGGATAGATATCCCATAACAGCCATAACGAAATAACATGGACGCGTTTGTTAATTTGCATACCGTTGGCAGCACATCTCCAGGAGCTAAGTGGAGAGCACAGACCTACCTGCAGTATTTCAAGACCACGTAAATATTTATACAAAAAGCATATGGTTTGGCTGGAGCGAGAGAGAGAGAGAGAGAGAGAGGGGGGAGAGAGAGAGCGAAAAAAATGTATAGAGAATTTTTAGGAAATTCTTGCTGATGAAAACATACTTAATTAGATGTCATTAACGTCCGTAATTAATTAATGATCAGCGTTGTGTTGACTCGTTTCTTATCTTTGATGTCTTCAAATGATTGTAAAATGGCACAATACTTCGAGTTCAAAACAGAAGTCGCAATTAGTTTTTGATGATAATGGATAATGGTAATTATGGTAATGATAATAATGATGGTGGCAGAAATGAGCATGATAATAATATAGATTGAAAACTTATGATAAAGATAATAATGGTCATATTGATGGTACTAAAAACGATGATTATGATGATAAGGAAAACAGTAATAATGACGGAAGTGGCAATGATACTTACAATAATAATCACGAAAATGTAGACGACAACGACCGTGAGACAGTGATGATAAATAACAACGAAGATAATAATCATAAATAAAACAACAGCGAGGATAAATATCCCATAACAGCCATAACGAAATAACATGGACACGTTTGTTAATTTGCATACCGTTGGCAGCACATCTCCAGGAGCTAAGTGGAGAGCACAGACCTACCTGCAGTATTTCAAGACCACGTAAATATTTATACAAAAAGCATATGGTTTGGCTGGAGCGGTTCCCTTGGGTGTGGAGAGTGAGTGGGAAGGGCTAGGGGGGAGGAGGGTGAAGAGGTATGTGAGGTCTGGGCATTATTTTTGTTTTTATTATCATCGTTGTTGTTGTTGTGATCTTTATTGTTACTGTCACTATTATTATTATTATTATTATTATTAGTATTAGTATTAGTATTAGTATTAGTATTATCATTGTTATTTTTATCATTGTTATTATTATTACTATCATCATTGTCATCATCAATTGTATTATGGTTATTATGATTATTATCATTATTACCATTATTATTTTCATTACTATCAACAGTATCATTATTGTTATTACTATTAGAATTATCATTATCATCATCATATTATTATTATTTTAGTCAGTATCATAATCAAGACTTGACAACAAGTGACTTGTAAGATGGAGCACAGGAGAGAGAACGAGAGAGAGAGAGAGAGAGAGAGAGAGAGAGAGAGAGAGAGAGAGAGAGAGAGAGAGAGAGAGAGAGAGAGAGAGAGAGAGAGAGAGAGAGAGAAAGAGGCCGAGACGGAGAAAATACAAATAGAATTAGAGATAGAGTGATAAAAGATGGAACACAGACATTCCTACAACCTAACACTGAGGATCACATTAAAACAATAATGTTGTTTATCCCCCTCGAGGTCCCTCAGAACCGCCCCCCCCTCGCGCAAAGGTCCCTCGTAGGATGGGCGGCGAGGATGGCTCAGGTCCTCGGGGCTTCGGCATCCTAGGGGCCAACACCGTGAGGATCCTGCTGGGGACGCTGGTGGCCTTCGTCGCCCTCGTCCTCGTCAGCCTCGTCGTGTTCTGGTACCAAGGTGAGGAGGGAGAGGAAGGCACGTGTGTGTTTGTGTGTGTGTGTGTGTGTTTGTGTGTGTGTGTGTGTGTGTGTTTGTGTGTGTGTGTGTGTGTTTGTGTGTGTGTATGTGTGTGTGTGTGTGTGTGTGTGTGTGTGTTTGTGTGTGTGTGTGTTTGTGTGTGTGTATGTGTGTGTGTGTGTGTGTGTGTGTGTGTGTGTGTGTGTGTGTGTGTGTGTGTGTGTGTGTTTGTGTGTGTGTATGTGTGTGTGTGTGTGTGTGTGTGTGTGTGTGTGTGTGTGTGTGTGTGTGTGTTTGTGTGTGTGTATGTGTGTGTGTGTGTGTGTGTGTGTGTGTGTGTGTGTGTGTGTGTGTGTGTGTGTGTGTGTGTGTGTTTGTTCTAATTATTTAATGCAGTAAATACAGTTCACACCCTTTCTTTTGTGCGTGCTTCACCTTCGTTAAATCTACTCCTATCCCCCCCCCCTCTCTCTCTCTCTATCTATCTATCTACATATCTATCTATCTATCTCTCACTCTATCTATCCATATCTCTTTCTCTCTCTCTCTCTCTCTCTATCTCTCTCTCTCTCTATCTATCCATCTCTCTCTCTCTCTCTCTCTATCCATCTCTCTTTCTCTCTCTCTCTCTCTCTCTCTATCTATCTATCTATCTATCTATCTAGACATTTCTCTCTCTCTCTCTCTCTCTCTCTCTCTCTCTCTCTCTCTCTCTCTCTCTCTCTCTCTCTCTCTCTCTCTATCTATCTATCAGCAGCTCTCTCATTAATCGCGCATATACCAGGCTGCCCAAAGGGGGGCTTCCGGTGCCGCGACGGGGCGTGTCTCCCGAGGAACAGGTGGTGCGACAACGTGACAGACTGCCTCGACGGAGAGGACGAGAGCGCCGAGAACTGCTGTGAGTCTTTGAGTTTTTTTTGTTTCTCTCACCTTCTCTTTCCTTTCTATTTTCTCTTTCTTTGGTTTATTCTGTTTTGTGTGTGTATATTTTCTCTATACATCTTTATCTCTTTCTCTCTCTCTCTCTCTCTCTCTCTCTCTCTCTCTCTCTCTCTCTCTCTCTCTCTCTCTCTCTCTCTCTCTCTCTCTCTCTCCTTCTATCTATCTATCTATTTATCCCTCTCTCTCTCTTTCTCTTTCTATATCTATCATAATAACTGGAAGGATTTCTCATTAAATTGTTTACCAGCTAATTATTTTTTTTTTCATTCGTTTTGCTAACTGAAGGAGAGCAAATTTTGTTCTCGGTCTTGCAATTTATTACAAAAAACCGTCTTTAATTACAACACGCGTCTACAATGATATGTAGTCATTACGATATTCGTGTTTTGCTTTAATGGCCTCACTAGGCATTTTAACATCTTTTGCTTGTACTGAATTTATATCTACACTGTATAGTATTATTCTTTGGTATTCGTAATATAGTTTTCTTTTTTTTCGTGTAGTCTGGTTTGTGGATCGTATTATATGACGCATTTACATTGTATGGTATTCTTATTGTATTTTTTCGTATGTCTCACCTGCATTGTAATGTATTTGGTATCTGCAATATGTTGTTTTCTGTCTCTGTATTCTGTTGTATCGCATTTCCCATCTTTACTACTGAATTGCGTGTCGCATGGTGTCTTGTATATCGCATAACGTATGTATTGTATATTCTAACTCCACCGTATTGCATTTTTTTCCTTTTCTCCCCAGTGTTACCTCCAGGCCAGAGCCCCGAGCTTATAATGGAGCTCCTCGACAGCATGAGAAGGTGCGGTAAGTTTGACATTCTGTTTACGTTAATCAGATTTGGTTGATTGAATTTATTATCATTATTAGAGTTTACTTTCGTCAAATAGCTTTGATGAAGGAGTAGTCACCCTCTTTTTAGTTTGTATGTCATCTTAGTTTCTCTAATTCGGTGAAAGTGTAAAATAAGGCAGTTATTACTTATACAGTAGAATTGATTTTAGCGGAATGAATGTAATGATGATGATAATCATTATGGTAATAAATATATACATATATATATATATATATATATATATATATATATATATATATATATATATATATATATATATATATATATGTATATTAAAAAGCACAGACATACGCACAGCTGCTTGTGCGTATTTGTGAAATGACATAATTTCTAAAAAGCAAGCAAAATAACGAGTGCGAGTTTGATCTCCAGAAGCACAGTAGTGTCGCTCGCTCTCCCCAGACCTGTGCGTGTGTCCGCGCTGGAGCAGCTTAGCCAACTGCAAGCCGCAGCCGAAGGATAACACGAGCATAAGCGAGTGCAGGACGAGGCATAACGTCCTACCGCGCTCCTTC